AACAGGGGCCAGATGCCAGAGATTCATCCACAAGAACATCCTCACCCGCTTCGACGTTCCCCAAGAGATTATATCCGACAATGACACCCAGTTCGAGGCCGCACCCTTCCAAGAGCTCCTCCGGGAATGGGGAATCAAGCATCGCTTCTCCTCCGTTGCCTACCCTCAAGGTAACAAGCAAGTTGAGAATGCCAACAGAACCATTCTGGAGGGCCTGAAGAAGAAACTCCAGGACGCAAGAGGCAACTGGGCCGAAGAGCTCCCCAACATTTTGTGGTGCTACTGTACCACGCCGAGGAGGGCGACGGGCAAAATACCCTTTGCCCTTTGCTATGGTTTTGAGGCAAAGGCGCCCACATAGGTCACCATACCCAGCCGACGAGTGGAGCAATATGAACCTGAAGCCAATGAAGAAAGCATGAAGATCGACCTCCACCTGATCGAAGAAAGATGAGAGCAAGCCTTCATCCGGGCAGAGAACTACCGACGTCAAGTAAAATCATACTATGAAGCCAAGGTACGTTCCCAGGAATTCCAGGTGGGGGACTACGTCCTCCGCCGAAGGGAGGCGAGCAAGCCGACGGAAGGTGGCAAGCTGGCACTCAAGTACGAAGACCCCTACATCGTCAGTGCCGTAGTCAAGCCCTGTTTTATATATAACATTAATGAAAGAACACGAGCAATCCTGTTTTCAATTGGATAGACATTTCATAATCATGTTTGATATGGTCAATTTAAGTATGATCTGGTCTGTTTGGATAATACTGTATATTTTAGTATTATCTAAGTCTTGCCTGTTTTGGGATGATCAATATAAGTCTAATTTAATCTGTTCAAACATGATCTGGGTTGATCTAGTTTGGGACAACAATAATCCAAATAAAAACATCACTCTTGATCTATTAGTGTAATTTCACTGACTAAAATACAAAAATTTAAATGGCTATTAGCCTTAAGTAGGCAAAAAATTAGTCCAAAATGCAATAACAGGACTATAATTTTTTTATTGCAAAATATGAGTATCTAGTTCTCACTCCCTATTCTATCCCTTCCTATAATTCTCACTAAAACTTATTTTATTCATAATAAAATCATGATTTTATTTATAATCAAATGTAAAATTTATAAAATATTTATATATTTATAATAAAAATTTTAAAAAAATTTAAAAATAAACAAATAAAAGCCATAAAAATATTAAAGAACATGCATGCCTCTACTACTGCACCTTCCACCTCCCAGCACCACCACCTCAGATCACTAGAAAAAGTATCATCCAGTGTAAAAATGTCATTTTAATTTGAGAATTCCATTAACACAATATTTTTACTGTTTGAAAATTTTCAAAGATGACATTTTTTGCTTTCAAAACTGCTATCAAGATAACACTTTTTACAGATTGACATCTTTTCCCAGCAATCGGAGGTGCGGTGCTGGAAGGTAAGTGAGGACTGAGGTGATGGTTGGGGCTTGTATATATTTTTTGAATGTAGTTGGGGCTTGTATATCATTTATTTTTTTGTCATGTTTTTTATTTTTTATGTTTTGTTATTATTAAAAACCCTATTAAAGCATGATAAGAGTTACTTCTATAATGAGGATTTAAAATTGAGTTTTTTCCCGGAATAATGCTAACTAAATAAATAATTCCCACAATAATGCTGGGTTAAAAATAATTCCCAAAATAGTGAAATACTGCTGGATTAACCGTGGTTAAACAAAGCGCCACTTGAACCGCCACTTGAAGTACAAGAACCGTCACTTGAAGTGGTGGCTTTCCCAAAGAATACTTACGACAACAATGGTAATGGGTCCCACCTAAATTAAAAATCTTCTCTTTTCTTTGAAGTGTTGTAAGTTTTTTATTTGTATTCTGATTGTTACAAAAAATATACCAAAATTCACAACTTTTTATTATCTTTCATATGACACCAATATTGAATATATAAAATCAAAAAATAATTTAACACTTTTATAGGAAAGCAATGTTTCATATAGAAAAATAAAAAGAAAATCTATTAATTTGTGTAGTTTAGGATCGTTATTTACCATGCACTCCGGATTTTTATATATTCAATATTGGTGTCATATAAAATAAAACAGTATAAATTCTCATGCGAAAAATAAATAAATAAATGTGATGGAGTTTGTGTAATTTTATTTTAATCTATCACTCTTGATTAATTGTGTGCATGATAAAAAACTATTCTAAACTACACAAATTAATAGATCTTCTTTTTATTGATCCAAAAAAGGTGAAATCTCCCACCCCAGGAGCCCCCCACCCCGACCCGACAGGATGGTGGGGAGGTTAGTCACGGTGACTCAGTCAGCAGAATGACAGTAGGCACATACACCCGTGCGCACCAGAGGCCCAACCTTATTTCAGGTTCTGTGACTTCCACCCGGTTGCTGCGGGGATTCGAACCTTGATCTATCGATCCAAATCTCCCACTACTCGACCAACTGAGCTACCCGTGCGGGTATAGATCTTCTTTTTATTTTTCTATATGAAACATTGCTTTCCTATACAATATAATAAAAAATAATAAATTTTGATATACTTTTGTGTAATAATCGGAAAACAAATAAAAAATATATAGCGCTTTAAAAACAGATACACATAAATTTTTAAATTGTTAAATTATTTTTTGATTTTATATATTCAATATTGGTGTCATATGAAAGATAATAAAAAGTTATGAATTTTGATATATTTTTTGTAGTAATCAGAGTACAAATAAAAAAGTTACAACACTTCTAAGAAAATAGGAGATTTTTAATTTGCTTGGGACCCATTATCATATGTTGTTCTCTTTCACGTTGCTAAGTTGCATAAGTATTCTTTGGGAAAGCCGCCACTTCAAATAGTGGTTCTTGTACAGTAAAACAAAAACCGTCACTTCAAGTGACGACTTTGCTTAACCACGTTTAATTCAGCAGTATTTTGAGAATTAGTTTTAATCCAACAATATTTGGGAATTATTTATTTAGTTAGCGTAAAAAACTCCTTAAATTTTACGATCATATATTTTTATAAATCAACTTCTATTTACTCCTAAGGAATGAGGCCGAGTACTACAAAAGGCTACAATTACTCTTTCTAATTTCTATTTTGGTTTCTTAATCAGGAATTTCAGGAAATACCATATACGGAGTAACAGATACTCGGTAAAAATAAGAGAAATTTATCACGCGTATCACTAAAACATCACATAGTTCCCATGTTATGATTACTTGAGTATTCTTCCTAATACATGACTGCACATGCTCATCTTCCATGCACGTGTGGTTTAATTTTTTTTAATACCAATTGTATCCTTTCCTTTAATTAATGCTTTGATTTTTCATCGTAAAATAATTAATCAACAAGCATATCACGTATTGGAATGGGAGCATAACTTGCGGCGGTATGATAACTACCTTTGCGCATAACCGCTGGATTAGAAATGGAAATATCCGATACATAATGAAATTATTTATTGAACGTAAATGTAGGTTCATCTTCTACCAACTGTGTGGTTATCACATGACTTTTTTATTCATATCCAAATCTCCTGATTTCTTCTTCTATGAACTGTTCGTTCATCTGCTAAGGCTCATATGTATCATTTCACCGCCAATCTTGGAGTGAAGCAGTATCCATGCATTCCGTTCCAGTAGGTTACCTGGAAATGTGGATTATGATAAAATATGATGGCCAATGAGTTTCAAATACTTTTTCTCTAGTATTCATGTTGCCGGCTTAACTATACCATCAAATTGTACGTATGATTCTCTATATTCTCGTGTTTGCGCTGCTATGGGTGAGAATTATGCCGGGAAGAATATAAAGATCTCATACATTTATGTTGCGTGCCCACCTGCCTGCCGGTGCTGCCATTCAGCCGGAAGGCCGCCCACCTACCCGCCGCCGAAGTCTAGCCGCACGCTTGCCTGCCGCCGGCCAGCCGCATGTTTGCCCGCTGCCCGCTTCCATCCTCCCGATGCCCACCTCCAGCGCCCAACCGCCCAACCGCCCAACACACATTCTCCTTCTTCTTCTTTTTCTATCTATTTCTTGAAATTAGGGTTTACGGCATTGAACAAGGGCAGTGAAAATGAGTAGTGAACATGACAAAAGATAGTGTTGAACATGGATAGTAAATATGACAATAGATAGTGTTGTACATGGGCAATGAATGAATGAATTGAGGAAGAGTGTTGTACACTGAATTGAAGGCAATAATAGTGTCACAACATTGGCGAGAAGTGCAGTAATTATGACCAATAGTGCAATAACGTAGAGCAATAATGTCAACATGAAATGCAAAGTTATCAAATATAAAAAGAAATAAAAGAAGAATTATAAATAAATTCTTAACGTGGACATTAAGAGAATTAATGTTGGCGGGAAGTGTAGTGATTATGAACGGGAGTGCAGTAATATCGCGCAATAACACCTGTATAAAGTGCAATATAGTAAAGACATTATTAAATAATCACTTCCCTCAATGCATGATATGGAGAACAAAAAAATATGGTTGGAGAAGATGAAAATGGTGAAAATCAGGTTAGAGACCTGACTTATCAAATGAAACATGTTTGTAGTAAAAATAGTATTCCATATATAGTTACGTATTTTAGTGGAACATGCTTTTAATCAATTTTTCATATTTCATAGTTTTTTGGTAATTTAGGTCTAATTTGTTTGAAATCCTTCCTTAATTGAATTTCTTAGAAAACGTGTTATGACTTTCTATCCAACTGCTTAAATTAAGGAAACTTCAAATGGATAGTTTTCTAGGCCAAAGCGGACTGCTAAAGTGCTAATGCCGTTATATTTTAAGGCCATATTGGTCTTTTAATGGTCAAATATTTTACATGATCGTTCTTTAAATGACATGCTTAGTCATACATGGGGAAATAAACATTAGAGGTCATATTTTGGGAAATCTCACGTATTGTCATACATTCGTATTTTTCCCTAAAAATAAAATAGGAGTTGAACGAGTTAACTCGGCGTCTCAGCTTAGACAGAGTAGAAAGAAAATCCACGGGCTCTGGGTTTTTTGTTCTCTTCTCAGCATACATAGGCTGAAGCTCGACTGATACCCATGCAAATCCCAACAGCCATTTCCTCCATTCTTCTATAGCTGAAAAAGGTTCATCTATTTATTTCTTCCGCGAAATGCAGCTCAGTCTCTCTCTTATTAATTATCAATAATTTGTTCTTTCCCTCAATAAATGAATTTATCTTTCTCGATGGTTGCGAACGTCTAAGGTTGTTGATTAATTAGCGTCTTGTCTTTGTTCGATGTAAAGCTTTGATCTTTGCTCGTTGAATTGGCTGGTGTGGTAAGTCTTTTTCGACAGATTGGTTAATTGATTTTACATAGATTCGGTTTAGGGAGGGGATTTGAGTGTGGAGATAGGTATGGGATCCCAGGGCGGTGGTGGAGGGGGAGGAGGTGTGGGCGGTGGAACCCATACACAGAATCAAGACCCGAAATCTAATGGATTGGCTAGGCAAGGATCACTCTACACCCTCACTCTAGACGAGGTTCAGAATCAGTTAGGGCATTTGGGGAAACCCCTAACCAGCATGAATCTCGATGAGCTTCTCAGGAGTGTATACACTGCTGAGGCGACCAGTCAAAGAACCGATTTTGGACAAGTGCAGCATGCTTCCTGTCAAGATCACTATTCAGGGGATCTTAGCAAGAAGACTGTTGATGAGGTGTGGCATGATATACAGCAAGGGGAGAAGAGGAGTAGTCTTGATAGAAAAGCCACTCTGGGTGAGATGACACTTGAGGACTTCTTGATTAAGGCCGGGATAGTATCACCCGGAATGAAAAACTCAGGACCAGTCCTAGCTGCCGATTCAATGGCACTACTACAACTCAATGCTCAATGGCCAAATTATCACATCCAAAATACTATTCAGCAACAGCACAATATGCTGCCCGTTTTCATGACAGGTCAGCAGAACCTGCCCGTTGTTCCGAATCCAATGATGGATACAAGTTATTCTGAGCAGATGACTATTTCTCCTACTCTAATGGGAGCAATGTCTGACACACAAGGCTCTAGAAGAAAGAGAACTGCCCCAGAAACTGTGGTTGAGAAAAGCGTTGAAAGGAGGCAGAAAAGGATGATAAAGAATAGGGAATCCGCTGCCCGATCGCGAGCAAGGAAGCAGGTGAAATTTATTTTGTATTTTTTTTTCTTTGGGGAAAATAGGAATCATGCTTAAATTCCTGTGTTGCTGCGATAAAGTGTTTTTTATACCCTCATTTATGTGACAGGCTTACACACAGGAGCTAGAGAGCAAGGTTTCTCATTTAGAAGAAGAGAATGACAGACTCAAAAAGCAAAAGGTATGCTTCAGCACAGCAACTTCATTCATTAATTCATGGTATTAGTAACTTTGTTTTTTTATATCTGAATTTTCTGTTTTTTGCTATTAGTAATGAATCGAAATGCATTTTCATGCATTGATTTTTCATTGACAATGAGCTGTTTATTTTTTCAAAAAGTTATGCCTGTGAATTATCCCCAATTTAATCAGATTCCTTTTTTAGTTATTATCAGACCTCCTTTTTTGTGAGTTTTTATCATAGCTCCTAATTTAAGCAATTAGTTTTGATCACTTTTCTAACTTGAAATGCATAATGTCTTAAGACAGAATAATCTGAATCTAAGCTAGAAGTGTTGTTAGCTGTGGCTATTTGAGGTTTCTAGGGCTGTGGGAAAGTCATTCCTGGTGAAACTAACACACTGGACCACAACTTTATTCTTGCCACTTGAGCACTGTAGAATGAAGTTAGGCTGTTTAGGGTCACCTGTTGTCCTGAATTGAGTGTTGAAGAATGTCAAGTATCTAACATCAGTTCTTTACTGCTTCTGAGCCTAGTATGTAACCTATTGGCTGCTTATTAAGTATCCTTTTGTAGGGTAAATTAGGTCCAGTTTAACAAGGAAATGGGGCAAGGTCCACTTGTTGTGTACTGAATACTGATGCTATATAGATGATGCATTGAAGGTGGAAGAATTGGTAGTTTCACACAAGTACAAGAATCGCAACATTAATATTTTCATATTATACTTATAATTATCTTCATTTTTGTTGGTTCAGTTTTTTATCGAAATAACTAGCCATTGTAAAAACCAAAATGATAATTTTTTACAACTTTAAATTCATAATCGAAAATTTCAGCCAGATTGTTGTGTATTGGTCAGTCTGGCTGATTTGCATGTCCTTACATCTGATAGTTCAATGTAGCACTAAGATGGAACTTTCCTGCACACTTAAATGGGAAAATATAAGATCAATTTGTTAAATTTATAGGACTTGAAGTGAGTCACTGACCTGGCAATATCATAAAAGATGTTGCATTGTAATGTACTATCCTCCGTATCATAATAGTTGCAACATTGGAATTTATACACTATTCATGTACTCTACTTTGACTATATTTTACTTATTAATGTATGTGAATTATTTTTTTTTGAAAAATATTGTTGAATTCGTCTCATTACGAAGTTCCATAATCTGATTTTTAAAAGTTTTTTACTAATAGAGAATTAAATATAATGACAATCAAAGTTGTGTATTGGCAAGCGTGAAAAAAGGAATGTTGCAACTAAAAAAGAACGGGGAAGTATTTTTTAAGGTTGAAATTTCCTCCACAATGGAGGCAAAGACACTATTTATTGGCTTGAGAATACGATGGAATAAAGAAAAATGGCTCACTAAATTGTCCGCGCTTCTTTGTTATGAAGCAACAATCAGTCCATGCAATTTCGACGCGATTTTCACCATGGATCATCCGGAAAGTCTCTCTGTGCTAAAGAGGCAAGAGTGCGTACATCTGACCCCCTTACCCCACCATAGGTGGGAGTGTTTGTGGCGCTGGGGTAATGGTGATGAATGATGATGATGATGAATCATGCTCTGGACGTGTTTTTGACTTTCCTTTCCCCTTTCTGTGTTCTCTTTGTAATTATCAAACCCTGTTAGCCTCATTCATAGATTTAGTTTTGTCCCTTTTTGTTGCAAGTTCTTCTGAAAAGTTAGAGACATCAAAAGCCGTTTCTTATGTCTATTTAGAAAAGTTCTAAGAAGTCAGCTGACCTTCATAAATTGTGTTCATTGACATGTGGAATCATCTCTACCCTTGGATTGTCAGTTGAGATATATTTGCTAGCGCACATTTCGATGGGGAACAATTTCTTCAATCATGATTTGTCCATATACATGGATACACAAAGACAGAAGTTGACCTCCCTATTGTATTGCGAGGAAACTGGGAATGAGTTATATAGAATATTAGGACCCTGTTCACTCACTTTAACTTATTTCTTCCCAAACTAGACTAATTTTAAACATTATCATCATCATTACCCCAATAGGAGGGTAAGGGGGTCGGATGTACGCAGCCTTACCCCTGTACTAAAGCACAAAGAGACTGTTTCCGGATGATCCATGGTAAAAAACGCGTCGAAAATTACATGAACTAACTGCTGCTTCATAACAAAGAAGCGCATACAGTTTAGTGAACCATTTTGCTTTATTCCATCATATTCCCAAACCAAAAAATAGTGAATATTTGGTTCCATTGCAAATGATGGAAAAAGACTAATTTTAAACATACCACACCAAAATGTTAATCACATTAGATGAGATCCATTAAATAATACGGAGTAGTAAACTAACTACACATAAGATAAAACAAAACATATCAGACCAACGTAGACAGACTGAACATGTTAAAACCAGACCAGAAAATTGTAGCCCAAATGAATAAATGCTTAGTAAATATTTCAATAAGTCTTGCCCAGCTAAATCTTTTTGATGTAGCTCAGCTATGCTTATATGGTATGCATGTCCAGAGTCCAGACTTAATTGCCTATTCAAACATTCTAAAAATAGTCTCCGCCTAAGTTCCCTCCTAATTCCAAGATCCCACCTAACCCTAATGAAGTCGTAATTTGGCTTTAGATTCTGATCTGCCTCAGTGCCTCTAACAGATGCCTAGCGCTGTTTACAACATGGCTCAGTTTCGCTCATCTAGGCAAAACAGTGTAAAATAATACTACCTCCGTCCCATAAAATAAGTCCCACTTCAATTTGGATCGGAGTTTAAGAAAGTGGGAATAAAGTGGAAATGTATGGTTGTGGTTGAGTAAGAAAAAGGTAAATGAATGTTAGCCACACAAAACTTTCCAAAAAGGGAAATGGGAACAATTTTTTGGGACGACCCAAAAAGGAAAGTGGGACTTATTTTATGGGACGGAGGGAGTACTAAAAGATGAACTTCAATCAGTTAGCTAGTCTATTCCTTGATCATTTAAACCAATTTATTCATCTTTATTATTTCAGTATGACATTCTTAACAATCTTATAAAAAGGTTGCTGTTCATTTGATCTTTAATTGCTTTAGAGCTCGTTTGGTAAGGCTTAAAATTGTTGATTTTGCTGAAATTGCTGAAGTTTGTGACGGATTGAATCTCTTGAATTATAGAAAAGTTAAAACTAAAATATGTTCATTTGATCTTTAATTGCTTTAGAGCTCGTTTGGTCATTTCATTTTCATTTACCCCAGTGCCGCAAAGGCTCCCACCTACAGTGGGGTAAGGGGGGTCGGATGTACGCAATCTTATCCCTGTACTAAAGCACACAAAGACCGTTTCCGGATGGCCCATAGTGAAAATCTCGTCCAAAATTGCATGGACTGACCGCTGCTTGATAACAAAGAAGCGCAGACAGTTTAGTGAGCCATTTTGCTTTATTCCATCATAATCTCAAGCCAAAAAATAATGAATCTTTGGCTGCATTGCAAATGATGAAAAAGCCTTAAAATTAAGCTTTAGAGCTCGTTTGGTAAGGCTTAAAATTGTTGATTTTGCTGAAATTGCTGAAGTTTGTGGCGGATTGAATCTTTTGAATTATAGAATAGTTAAAACTAAAATATGGTCACATAAAAGGTTACTGAAAAAAACGGAAAAGGCTAGACGGTCAACTGAAAGTACATCCAACCTAACTTTGTTTCACTGTGTGTTAGTGTGATAAAAAATGGAAAATTCCCAAAATAGGAGTAAATATATTTTGGAATTCCAAATTAGAAGTGCTATTGTTTTTATTCCCTTAATAGGAGTAATTAGTGCCATGCTTAAAGTCTGGTACTGCCAAACGTGGAAGTAATTCATCCTATTTAGAGAATAAAAACATAGTACTTCTATTTTGAAATTCACAAACGTTTTTCCTGCTATTTAGGACAATTTCTTGATAAAAAACTGCTACAAATAACACTAAAAGATTAACTTCAATTGGCTAGCTACTAGCTAGTGCATTCCAACTTTCCAAGTTCACTTAAACACTTCTATCCATCTTTAATATTATAAAAAAGGATGCTGTCCGTTTCATCTTCAGTTGCTTTGTAGCTTGTTTGGTACGGCTCGAAATAGTTGATTTTGCTGAAATTGCTGATGTTTGTGGCGGATTGAATCTCCTGAATTATAAAAAAGTCAAATTTAAATTATATTCAGGTCTTGGGACCGGACTCTTTTCAAAGTGGCAAGGGGAGGCTTGCCTTTTATACACCCCGTGTTGGGACCCTTCCCCGTACCCACACCTTGCGGAGACACCAATGTGCATCGGGCTGCCCTTTTTATTCACATAAAAGTTAAATAAAAAACAAAAAAAGGCTAAAATGGTCAACTTCAACCAAAAAATACATCCAACCTAACTCTTTTTCAGTTTGTGTTGTAAAGTTGTTAATGTCATAGAAAGTTAGAAACTGCTACATTGTCCTGAGTAACATGGTTTATTTTGCAGGAGAAAGATAAGCTGTTGCCTTACGTCCGACCTCAGGAGCCGAAGTATCAGTTGCGCAGAACAAGCTCGTCCCCTTTCTGACAACATAATTTGTGAATGACAACTATATATAGCTGCATATAATTTCTTGTCACTCAAACTTTCATAAAGTAGTGTTCGTACCGGTCTGGACAACCTGGTGTGAGAGAGATGCCTTGAGAATGTCATCTGGAGCTCCTGTTGGTTTTTAACATTACCCGGCCCTTGCCTCCCCTCCCTCACACCTATTACTTTATTAGTTTATTTTCTTTGTATGTAAATTTCATAGTTTAAAACTTGAAGCTATGTTGTTAGAACATAGTTGTTTTGTTCTCGCAAAAAGTGCTGTGTAGGACCATATTTCTCCTGTGTATCATCTCATAATTAAAGTTTTACTTACTTACCTTGGTAGTGCTATCTTGCTACATGTGCAAAGTTTTGGGAGCTATTGTAACAAGATTACCTTTAAAAATGAAAATAAAAATAAATTTTACAGTAGGAAGTGTTTACTTTGCTTTAGGCAGAGTTGGGTTTGTGTGTGTATTTGCTTTGACATGCTTTTTCGGTCTGTGCAGGGGGGTATGGTATATCATAGGGAATGATTTTGGTATACTTTGAATCACTTTAATAATTATTTAGTAGATATTTATCTAAATATTGTTTTTTTTTACGTACAAAATGGATTTTGATGTTTTTGGTGTTGTATAAATAGGCATGGTCTTGATTCGGGCCGAGCCGGGCCTCGGTCCGGTTCTGACCGGGCTTTTTTTTGGAGAAGTGAGGCTCGGAAACCGGCCCGGGTAGCTCCGGTTCCAGGTCGGGCCGGTTCACCTGGCAGTAACCGGGCCGGGCCGGTTCACCTTGCGGTAACCGGGCCGGTTCACCTGGCGGTAACCGGGCCGGGCCGGTTCACCTGGCGGTAACCGGGCCGGGCCGGTTCACCCTTCTATTTTTATTTTTATTTTCTAATTACTTTCTACCCCCAAACCCCTCCAAAACATCCAGTCCAACCCATTTACCTTTTAAAAAATGTGAAAAACTAAAAAAAAATTGGCCCGAAAATGGCCCGAACCGGTCGGCCGGTTCATCAAATAGGCCCGGGAACCGCCCTTCTACAGTGCCGAGCCGGGTGGCCCGAACTTGTCACAGAATGGTGGACCGGGCCGGAATAGTGCTGGTTCGGGCCAGTTCCGGTTTGGTTAACCCGGCCCGAGTCCATCCTTATGTATAAATATGTTTTCAAGAATAGAAGTTCATTACTAAATTTGGGGGTGGACATTTCGGTTTTTGGTTCGGTTTTTGGTTCGGTTTTATTCGCTTTCGGTTTAATCGGTTTAATGGAGTTACTTTTCTGGGTGTATTGGTTGAAGTTATTGTAGATGACCATGTTAACATTTTTTTCATATAATTTTTTCTTTATTTTATTAATACGTAGTAAAATATATTTTAAATATAATTTTTTCAAAATTAGCAGAATCAGCCAATACAGCCACTTCAGTCATAAATTCATAAATTTCAGTAGAATCAATCGATTCAGCCATTTTAGTGTTACCAAACGGTCTCTTCATGTGAACCAGCAAGCCATATTCAGAATATTGAAGGATAAATACTCATTTAGCTCATGAAGCTACATGATTGGTTATAAAGTTCAAGATGCATAACTTTCGTTATTTTGACCATAACTTTGTACGAGTTGTCAGCCGAATTCATTGAACTCAACAGATGTGAAAATATATTTTAATGCCCTACAACTTTTATGAAGACATCTTACAAAAAATGTGTAACGCGATATCTGTATAAACGAGTTTTGTTTATTGCAATATAATTTTTTTAATAAAATGAGTAAAATGCATAAATGATCCTTGAATTATCATCACCGTATCATTTTGGTCCTCAAACTATTAAATCTATCATTTTAGTCCTTAATCTATTTCATCTATATTAATCGAGTCCTTCCGTTAAATTTGATGTTATCTTTCACGGAAGCTAATTAATTTATTAACATCTAATAATTTTAAACATTTTGGAACAATACAATCATTCTTAAAATTTAAGTAGCTAATCTAGTGTTTTAAAATATACATATATGTACACATGCACATATAAAAATCATAAATAAATAATATAATATCAAATGTACGGCCTAAATAATACATAGTATATAAGAGAGAATCAAATAATCAATTATATATATGAGCAGATAAAATTAAATAAGAAAACGAGGGTGATTGTTATTATTACTAATTATATTATGAAACAAATTAAAACTAGCTAGGTATGACTAAAATTCATCCACTTTCTCAATACATGACCTCATTAGCCCCCTCCCCCCACCCCAAAAAAAATACGAAGTAATCCGTATTTAAATTCATAATATTTAATAAAATAAACAAATAAAGTGAGGTCTCGAGTTCGTAACCCGCTAGGCACATAAGAGTTTGAAACTCAATAGAGTGAGTTTCAGCCCTGATTACTCCTGACCCCACCAACCCCCTTGGAGTAAAAAAAAAGAGTAAAATAGTCCTATCTCGGAAAAAATATCATATTTAAAAATTTCTCTCCTCTTTTAGTCCTATATATGGGGCAATAACCGTTTTTATGACCGCTGTCTCTTTGACCGCCACCGCCGCCATGAGGATCTTGATTATGACCAGGCTCATCTCGGTCTTCGTCGCTCATAGTGTGTACCTGCAATTCATAAGCATGCATAATGATTAATAATAATTCAATATTAAATATAACTTACAATTCAGTATTAAATTACTTAACTCAAAACAACTTACAATTCCTCACTTAGCTTTTTCCGTTAACACTTCAATGCCATCATTATGGTGTGCGATAAAGGGAAGATCATCCTCATTGTGATCATATCTTATGTTTGTTTCACGCATCCCGATGGATAATGAGGGCATTTCCTCAACATAATCATCTTCCTCATCCTCAAAATTACATGTAATCTTTTTCTTGCCGGGTAAACAAATGGACCATCGTTCATTTGAAGGATCTTTTACATAAAATACTTGTTCGGCCTGTGATGCAAGTATGAACGGATCACCACGATGTCCTGATCGGTTAAAATCTACTAATGTGACTCCAGTGTCATCACATTGCACCCCTCGACGAATGTCAACCCATTGACACTTGAAAATGGCAAAAGATCGAGCTGTGTAATTTAACTCCCAAATGTCTTCTATTTTTCCATAGTAAGACAACCTTGCATTTAATGGATTTTGATCATTTGCACTAGCATACTCAGTCAAAGATGCTATCATAGACACACCACTATTCTGTAACACTGACTTCTCATCTTGTCTGGTAGTATAAAAAGTGTAGCCATTGATATCATATGCTTCAAAAGAATCAATTGGTCGTTTAGGACCATAGGCCAACCACTTAATATCATCATCAACATCATAGTACACATTATCAGTGTCATTGAAAATTAAATCCCTAAACTAAGATGCAAAGGTTCGGTTGTGTTCTTTAGTCAACCAGATTTCACTTTCAAAGGAAACTGGGATCTCAAGACATTCATATGTTGTTGCACATAAGGATGAACTACTTCAAGATGATGCAATACGAGAAGAAGAGCCTTTCCCAACAAATCATTATCCACATTCTTTACTTGTTTCTTCCCAAGAGTGCCCTTTCCTTCAAGTCTGTCATCATGTCTAGACTTTGGTACTCCCAAAGACTTCACATTAGTTAAATATGGCGTACAAAATTCAATGACTTCTTCATCAATTAAACCTCTGATGATGCTACCTTCCGGTCGACAACGGTTTTTTACTTTTGATTTTAAATGCCCCATGTGTCTCTCCATTCCGTACATGTACCTCAAAAACACCGGTCCACACATCTTTACCTCTCTGACTAAGTGCACAACAAGATGCACCATAATGTCAAACAATGATGGCGGAAAGTACATCTCGAGTTGACATAATGTAACAACTACTTCTGATTGCAAAGCATCAAGTTTCTCTGGATGAATTACTTTCTGGCATATGGAATTGAAGAAGAAACTCAACCTCATAATGGCATGCCGAATATGATCAGGTAGAAGACCTCTTAAAGCAACAGGTAACAAGTGTTGCATCAAAACATGATAGTCGTGAGACTTCAACCCAATCAATTTCATATCTTGTAGTGATACAAGATTTCTAATATTAGACGCATACCCTGATGGCACCTTTATCCCATGTAAGCACTCACATAAACTTTTTTTCTCGGCCTTTGATAATGTATAGCTGTCTGGTGGAAGAAAAAATCCATTCTCACGTGGTTGTGGTGCTAATTCTTTCCGAATATTCAGATGTTCAATCATGTCTTTGCGAATATTTATGCCATCTTTTGACTTTCCAGGAACATTCAAAATAGTCGAAATGATGCTGTCACACACATTCTTTTCAATATGCATGAGATCAAGACAGTGCCTTACTGATAGGTCTTTCCAATAAGGAAGCTCCCAAAATATAGATTTCTTTTTCCAAAGGCTCTGCTTGTTCCGCTTATAAGGTTTTCCAAAGATTGTGTTCAAATCTTTCACCCTATCATACACATCATGACCATTTAATGGTGGACGAGCTACTTCATGCTCAGTTTTTCCGTTAAATGTCTTCTTCAATGCACGATAACGATGAGTGCGCGGAAGAAACCTTCGATGATTCAAGTAAACATTTTTTTTTGCAGTGAGTTAATCGCAAATCAACTGTATCATCTTCACATATAGGACATGCTTTTGCACCTTTGACTGTGTAACCTGAAAGATTGCCATATGCTGGAAAATCATTTATAGTGCAATACAACATAGCACGCATTTGAAAATAAGATTTGGTATGCATGTCATATATTGTAACACCTTCAGTCCACAGCAGTTTGAGATCATCAATAAGCGGTGCAAGGTACACGTCAATATCATTACCCGGTTGTTTGGGTCCCGAGATAAGAAGAGACAACATGATGTATTTGCGTTTCATGCACAACCATGAAGGCAAATTGTAAATAACCAATAGAACTGGCCAAGTGCTGTGTTGACTACTGAGTGTACCATATGGATTCATACCATCAGTGCATAGGCCAAGTCTCAAATTTCTGTCCTCTCTGCCGAATTCAGGATATTTCAAGTCAATTTGCCTCCATTGCGGAGAATCAGACACATGACGCAAGTACTCATCTTTTTTTCTACCCTGAGAATGCCAAACTAAATGTTTGGAATCTTTTGCATTCATGAATAACCTTTTAAATCTCGGAATAATGGGGAGATACCACAAAACTTTTGCAGGAATTTTGGAAAACTCAGTGTCACTAGCACTATTTGTACTCCTTTTTGCCTTATAGCGAGAAAGATGACATGTTGGACATTCATCAAGATTTTCGTACTCATTCCGGTACAACACACAATCATTCGGACAAGCATGGAATTTCTCCCATTCAGCTCCCATAGGACACAATAACTTTCTTGCCTTGTAAGTGGTATCAGGAAGTGTATTCCCTTCAGGCAAC